TACTTGGGAGTTGACGTATGAAGTCTCTCACAGTGGCATAAAATTTTGACACAAATAAGGATCCATTGAAATGAATTATACAGATATTACAAAAAAAGTCCTAAATTTGTGCTGGAAGACAGAACAGATACCTTTTACTTGTAGTTTTATAAATTACCTTTCTGCCATTGCAAACACACAAACCTGAGTTACCAGCATAACATAACACAATATGCACCAAGCAGCACAGTTCACATTATTTTTATGCTGTAAAATAAATGCACAGGCTGCAGCCAGGTGGTAAAGGAAATCCCATTTCTACGAAGAAAAATAATCACCCCCAAAACAGCAATGGTACATAACTAACAAGGTGGAGAAAATGTGGTAAAAGTAATAGTTCACTGTATCAAAAAGGGAGATAATCTCACAAAAACCAAAGTGAAACGCCAACTTGCAATTGGCTAAAATGGCCATTCATTTTGCTAAACTTACACAAATTTCATCAGGAATATCATAATGCTGCACTTCATTGAGTGTTGATACATGTGGGCTATTTTTAAAGTTTTACCTTCATAATAATTAAGTAACCTAGCCAGCCTGTGAGAAAATTAATTGAAGAATGGAACATTTTGGCTTAAGAGAAGCAACATGGTGGTGAAAAACCCCAATATGTGAATGAACTTCCTGATCATGAGACTGAACCAAAGGAAAAATGATTGCAATTTTCTCCAGTCAGTACTTGTCCTAGGCCCATACCTAACATCACTGAAAGTGCTAACTCAACTAACACAGATAGGTCTGACATTAAGTCATGAAGATTTATTTTCACCTGCACTTACGATGCCCCAAACAAGCAAGAGTTCTCATATGCACTTCTCAAAAAAAGAGAAAATTTAACCATTCATGGAAGAATAAGTGGTCTTGGTTTGAGTTCAACACAGATGAGGGAGTTACGTTCAGTGCCCTTTGTATAAATTTCCCAAGTTTCTCTGATAGCCATAACTAATTGTTTGTGGGGTCTTGTAATTTCACATGTCCACAAAGAACTCGTCAAAACAAGCAGAAAGTGTTGGGCACTTTAAATGTGAACAAATGCAGAAGGCAAAGGACCAACCAGAAACAACACCCATTCTAAGATAAGTTTACCCTAAGCCCTAAAACTTTGTACTGATAATAAAAATACAGTGTACATACATTACACCAGGAATTTGTCACCCCAAATCGAAACACAGTGTAACCCTAGTACAATATTTTGAATGAGATAGCAAGTGGAAATATTGGTACATTCTACTTCAGGGGGAGACAAACATACAAATAAAAACAAAATATATTCCAATTTTCCAATTAGCTTACACTGCCATTCATTTCATCAAACTTATACAAGTGTCTTTGGGAAAACAAAGTAGCCTAGCTGTAATTCTGTAAAACCTACAAAAAATAGCTTTAGAACAGGTATTGCCCTTACTCAAAAATTGACTAACTTAACTTTGTTTTAAGTACTTGTCCAGTGAGCAAAATGACAAGATGAAGGAGCAGTGATTTGTAAAGAAATAAATTAACATTCAACAATTCAATAAATTTGTAAATAAAAAAAGATCATTTATTTGCTTCCAAGTCTATAGTATGTTTGTGTACCCAAACAAAGATGCTAATCAAACCACAACTTGTGCTTTCCAAAGGTGGAAAAACTTTTATGAACTGGTAAATACTTTAAAAAAATAAGCTTACCAGTTCCTCATTATAAAATTCCAACCGTGACCACAAAGTTTATTGAATGGCTTTGTTTCTACAAATTAAGTGGCTAAAAATAATGATAAATGGTTTTAAAGTTCTTGTGTGTGTATTCAAATGGTAAATGCTTCTAGATCCAAAGAAGAGAGCTGTTGTTTGATATATTACTGATCCTTATTCGTTCAGCCAACTTGAACACACACTGTTTTTGGTTTTAACATTCACTAGCCGGTTACTGCCAAATGGTGGAGGGAAGGTTTAGTGGGAGTACAGTTGCCTTGAAATAAATCCTGCAAAATCAGTATGTATTAGTACTGTAAACATTTTCCATTTGTTGTACAATAATTAGTATTTTGTTTATGGGAGATCTATAAATTCAAAACTGTGATTTTGCATTTACATACTTGCATGGCTGGGAACTATAATTCTCCAAGACTACTTGCACACTCATTGCATGGGTCACTCACTTAATCTTGCTTTTATAAATTCATGCTACGTTCCATCAGTATGAAATTGTGTCGATCAAGTTAAAGGAATAACTATTCGGATTAAATCCTCACTCAAACACGGAGAACTATTAAATGCAATCATCATGTCTTCCATTACTCAATGTGTGCACTACATGCCGGGTTGAGAATATTTAAGGTCAGGAAAGGTTCTGTCATCCATTCTTACTTCTCACATGTGAGTTTATTGTCTTTAGAAATGATAATTTTGAAATGTTTAATGACATTTGGGCTGCTGAAGATAAGAAAAATGCTATGGCTTATCTAAACATATTGGAATCCTTTGAATTCATTTATCTTTTATTTACTAGCTTTACAATGTTCCCTTTACTATTTGAAAGAAGCTTCTGTAAAATTGTAAGGTCCAACCCAAGAAATTATCTCTGGTGTTTCCCTAATAGAATAATGCTGTAAAGAACTGACTTCACTAAAAGTGAACATAGATTATTCACGTCATATTCTCAAGCACAGGAGTAATATTGTTAACAAATCTACTATTAATATTAGCATGCTATGAGTTAGTCAACAACAAGTCCAATGTGCAAATGCAGAATAGTTTTGTGGAGGAGGATTACTTTCAAAAAACAGTAACCATTCCTTTTCTTGAAAACATCATCAGTAATCTTTCCTCCAGATTTGATGGACATGTAAAGTAAGCATCATCAATTCAGAAACTTATGCCATCAAAGCTCTCACAAGAGTTATCTATCTCTGATATCGGTGAGGCTATAAATTTTTTACAGGGAAGATTTTTACAAATCCTGATATTTTTGACAAAGAAATTCATAGCTGGAGGACAATACAGCTTTCTATACCACTCCAGGACAGAACCCAAACTGCTTAAAAGTATGCTTCAGTGTACCAAATATCTTTATGTTACTGAAACTCATTGCCACACTGCCATTAAGTTCATGTTCATTCTTGAGGTCTGACATCCGGGAACTTTGCCCTCTAACAATACAATGTCCACACAGTAACGGAGGTGAAGGAGCAAACATAGCGCAATTAAGGGGAAATTTCATTCATTCTGTACACTTGCCTGCTGTCTAGACTCATATTTGTAACAACTGTTTCTGTTGAACTTTTGTTGTTACAAACCTGCAAATATGGTGGAGTTGTTGTGTATTGAATCACAAATAATAAGTTGAAAAAGACTTGAACTTTCCTTCTATTTGATACCTAGTCCTTCAGCTAGCCTTAATAGTAAGCATGAAGCAAACATTTGTGGGATTCTATTCATAGCCTGGAATAGTCTTAAAACAATTTTTTGATAATTTTTTAAAAAACTAGTTCAACCTGTTTGACCCTTTGTCAAGATGGCAATTGCATTACCAAACAAAATCACAAGACTGTGATGTCACGCTGACCTCAAGAATATGAACACTTAGCATCTGCTCTCCACTGATTGAATAGTTACCCAAGTTGTGCATAAACGAAAAAAAGACTGTTATTACACTCAGTAGTGCATAGATGTACATATATGATAGCCAATGACT